CTCTCTCCCTGTACCTTTCTGCAGGTTGCCCTGGCTCTGGAGCTCTATGTCTCTGATGAGCAGTCACCAGCCACATCAACCTGATCAGTGTTTGATTGTTGTGTCTTGTTGCTTTTCTTTTTTTGTCTCTCCTCTATCCACTCACCCCAACCGGTCGAGGCAGAAGGCCGCCCACCAAGAGCTGGGGTCTGTCGGAGGGTTCTTCTGTTAAAGGGAGTTTTTCCTCCCCACTGTCGCCAAGTGCTTGCTCAAGGGGGATTTGTTGGGTTTTCCCTATGTAATAATATTGATAACAGTAAGGTCTAGACCTTACTTTGTAAAGTGTCCTGAGATGACTTTTGTTGTGATTTGGCGCTATACAAATAAAATTTGATTTGATTTGACTTGACTTGACTTGATTTCCACCACCAGCTGAATCTTGGGTACATGTGTATGAAATGATGCCTTTATGATAAAACAGTGTATTCATAAAATGTGGTGCAATGGTTTTTCAGTTTAGGGAATAAAGTTGTCCAACGTAACCAGACATTTAGGGAGAAAATCTTCTATTTAGGGAATCACAGTCTCTCTATTCTTGATGAAATAAAGTTGTTTACTCGGTTTAATTTTGTCTTGGAACCAGAGGAGGCTGATGTACTCAGATGTTTTGCTTAAGTAGCAAGAACATACTCTGTTACAGGTAGAAGTCATGAATTCAATGACTTTAAAAAGCACTTCTTATGCAGAATGGCTCTTTCTTGTTACTGAGTTTGAATTACTGATGCATTGATGTGAACAGCTGTTGCAGATGTTTATACTCTACATTGCTTTATACAAGTACTTCTGCATTGTACTTCAGTAAATGTACATGACTCCCCATGATGTCGCTGTTGTTATTTTGCATCCACAGTTCAGCTCCCAGGACGCTGCGCTGCCCTCCCTAGGGATGTACGTTAAGTGTCGGGAACGCGCTTGGATTTGAAAGACCAGGGAGCGGGCCGACCACGGCCCCACTGTAACTTGGCGCACTGACCACAGCACACCTCCTCTCCTGGATTTTTATGACGCACGCCTGTCAGACTGAGGAGTTTAGGCCGTTTCCGATGTGGATTTATTGCGGGAAAAGGTTCTAATCAAACCTGCATGTTTGAAAAGACCTTTAATCCATCTCTGTGCGCCCAAGGACTGGTTTACAGCAATGCGGTGAATGAAGCCGCGCGTAAAGCTACCGCCTCCAGCCTGTCAAAAATGGTTTTGTTGGGACGTTTCGCGCACGAAAATCACGAACCTTCGCACTGTAGTGTTTAGTAGCGTTTTGGCACACGTGTTTCCGGCTGAGGACGATGAGCGTTGAGCTGTTGTTCAGGAGGCTTTGACCCTCCGCTGGATGAGATGTGACCATGGTCTTTACGCACCGGCTCGCTCTGCTGCTGCTCGGCTTCAGCTTCACCCACACGGTCAGTACTTTACGTATTGTGATTACCATAGTCCAGAATGCTCCTAGAACAGTCTCACAGTGAGCTTGTAGTGACCAGATCCTACTCGATTTATTTGCATTGGGATGGTTATTAGTTTTTCTTGTAAAGTACTTCTTTAGAATTTCTGCCACATGTCCTCACGATTGAAGGTTTGATGTCGTCATAGTCTGAAATTACACACTTAAACAACGGCTGACCTTTTCAGACTCGGACCAACCTGCATCTTCCCATTTATACACACCAAAAACAAATGTCACGTCCTGGATGAATCTGAGCTGCAACTTCATCTTTAGCTGACTGTTCTTTATCGTTCAACTGTGTGAAAACATAAATTCATTTTCCTGTTGTTGCTAGTTAGTGTTTAATAATCAGGCCCGGTTCACACACTGCATTTACTGTATCTGAGGGTTAGAGAAGACGCATTCCAGCGCTGTTCCTGGATGCAACACCAGACAAGTCAAGTGGATGATTTACTCAGAGTGAGTGAGGTGACATCAACTCTCCAAAAATTCACTCAAGATTTCACTTAGAAGAAAAGTTCCTGACATACTTTGAAAGAAAGATTTCACTTAGAGGAAAAGTTCCTGACATACTTTGAAAGAACTGATGTTTCCCAGCTGTCCACAAGAAGATGTTTTACTCCCCAGATCTGAAGCGTATTTCCATACACAAGGGAAGAGTTTGTTACAGTTTTTGTGCTTGTCTGTTTTCAGTTGATTGTTTGAAATTTAGATGTTTTACTGATGTTTAGGCAGTGAACACCTTTTCAAACGTAAAGATTTTGTTCTTCCACAAGACACTTGATGCTATTTTAAAGGTTTCCCTGAATTAATGCTCTCCATTAAAGACTAAAAAGAAATCAGCAGCAAAGACACTAAAACAAAATGTTCTTGTAAATCGTCACTGAGATTTGTCCTGGCCCCTCATAAAGAAACCGTTGCCACTGTGTGTTTTGATTTTAGGTGATGAAATGAACCATTTGTTACATTTGGATCACAGATTGTGGATTCACTCATGCACCGAGGAAATATTTTGACTTTTTACATTCTTTTAAATTCAGTACATGCATTAACATGGCACATCTTACTGCGTAAAGGTTATAAAAGCTCCTCTTGACTGTGGCCATCCAGGTTTATTTCTGCTGGATGAGATATCACAGATTTCACCAAGTCATTTCACTTTGGTTCAATGAGTAGAATAGTTGTCTCCTGACCGGAGGGTTGGAGGTTCCGACCTCATTGCCTGTAGTACACATGTCAAAGTGTCCTTGGGCAAGACACTGAAACCCCCAAGTTGCCCCCGATGGTTAGAGCCATCGGTGTGAGTTGGCACCGCAGATGGCTGCCTCGGTTCTGTACCAGAAACAGATTCCTTGCGTGTAACATATTTGGCCAAAAAAGGTGATTATCAGATGCTGGCAGCTGTGTGTGTGTGTGTGTGTGTGTGTGTGTGTGTGGGT